CGCCTCCCCGAGCGCCGTCTCCCGCGAGCCCACCGCCGCCCCGCCGTGCTGGAAAAGGGATAAGATAGAAGACAGGGTCGCGGGCTGAATTCTTGGAAATGTAGGGCTTTTTTTATAAAAATGAATCGTTTTTTCAGATCCACTTACATAGGGACGGCGGGTTGAATTCTCATAAATAGAGGGTTTTTTAGCAAAATTGCTGACGACGTACGACCAAAATAGGGAAGATTGGAATTGATCAAAGGTTTGCATTTATTCGTTGTACTTGAGGAATTAAATTAAACTCATGGTGCTGGTCACAGTTATACTGGAACAAATCATGTTCTTATACTGTTATACATGTTAGAATATTCCCGGGAACTGTATAAACTGGGGAAGCTGGGCTATGCGTAGGATCCAGCTCTACATATTGAAAAAGCCTACATGTTTAAATATGTATTGATACAGTTTAAACATGGCGTATGACTCACACATACGTGCGAAGGGATAAGAAGGAATTTCACTCGGAAACTAGTCGGTTATGATCGTGGTTGCTTAATTCGATTAGGAGTCTAACTGAATTATATCTACATACATATTTGAATTTTCAGGAAACTGAGTATAAATATGTCCCTACCCTCTAACCTCATATACGCATTGTGAGCCGCACCACGGACTTGGTGTAGGAATTAGAGGGTAGAAAAAACATACTCATGCTATGTTATTTTCAACATCTTGATCTGAAAGCACATTGTACGAATGTTCCGTGTGTTATATGTAATTCAAACTAGGAAGTTTGAAGAAGAAGAAGAAGAACAAGAAGAAATTGAATGATATTATATGATTATTTTCAGGTTAGCTTGGCAGATTCACGGTGCAAGTTAAAAAATAACTTGTGGCAGATTATCTGTTTACAATAAAATCTTGTTTTTTGCTGGCAGAACTTGAGTTTCCATCCGTGATAGGTCACACTAATGTTATCTCTAAGGATGCCTTGATTCAAAAGAATTTTATCATTTGTGGGGGATTTGAATTCTTAGTAATTTTCCCCAAAACATTTCTCATTTGATTCGCATCATTGTAATCCTTAGGAACATTTTCTTACAATTCATTTGCATCCCAGGAAAAAAACATTCTATCAACTCAAAACTGTTTTCAGAATTTCTTTGTTTTCTCTATGCTATGAAATACTCTTTAAACCAGGATTAATCTTATACTAGGATTCAAGAGGATGTGGCACTCTAGTTGTACAAGGCCTCTTTGAAAAACATGCTACTATGGTTCCTCTGACAGCCACCGGTTCCTGTCGCCTCCAGGTGCCTTCGGCACCATGGAGGAGGGGGGGCCCAGTTGTAGTCTTCGGTCACCCTAACTTCAGTTAGGGTCAAGTTCATGTATCTCGCTAGTGGTGATACGATGGTGTCATCGACGGCCAGGAATAAATTATCCCCGTCCTATCTATGTTCCGGCGATGTTGTTTGGCATTGGCGGAGGGCGTGTGGAGTTTCAGCCAGGGATAGATATTGGCCCTCATTTATGTCTTTGTTTTGTGTAGGTGATCGGCAATAGGGGTGATATCGCAGCGTGTCTTTTTACTTGGGTCCCAATGAAGGCTCAGCAAGATGGGCTGGAAGTGGGGAACTTTTGTGAGGTTTCTATCCCCCTCCTCTGTCTTGTCGGAGTTGGGATAATCTTCTGGTCCTTCTTAGCGCCAGCTTCTCCGGGATGGCGATCTTTCCAGATCATATCGGTGTCTTCTGGTCTACATCGACGACTTCTCGGCCACTACTTCTCCAAGCACCTAGCTTTCCACAAAGTTGCTACACTCAGATGGATACCTAGAAGTGGCAACGAGTTTTGCTCACGGCGCGCCGCCGGTGGATGCAGAAGGAAGATGATGTTTCTTTCTTCAAGGACTTGCTTTTTATTTCTTATTTCTGTAAGGTGCTTCTTATACGGGCTCGTTTTATCTAATATATGGCCTTCAGCCTTTTTTGCAAAAAAATGCTATTAGATGTACGAATTAGGTCAAGTTCTCCTTTACTTGTTAGTTTCTGTTGATTATGGCTATTCCATAACACTAGTGCTATTTGTTGTGTATTTCAGATTTCTCAGTTCTATATCCTAGAATATTTTAGCCTGGCTTAGCTATTGAAAATTAAATTTTGGTATAACGTTAGCACAAAAGTGAGTAACAAGTTGAGGTGGGAACACTCAAACTATAACTTTTGAAGTCATAGCTTTTGCTGATCACTTTGTTTACTTTACATGTTTACTAGCAAAAGAGCCCGTGCGTTGCAATGGGAGAAAAAATAACACACACTCTTAACCCAATAACCATAATATGTCCATGCCCTTTATTTTAGCGAGGCATCATTTTTGTGTTGCCGCTTATCCTCCTTCTCACCTTCAGTGGCCTCAGTGTTCACACAAACCAAAGTGTGTTTGAATGTTGTTTTTCCCCTGCTAGTTTGTTCAGAGGTGCTCATGTGTGGTTATCGATGTTTTCTTTCGTCTCTTTATGATTTTAGTGGTTGTTTATTTGCAATCCAGATCGTCGCGGTATGAAAGAAAAACGGACGTGCCCTATAGGTTACAAGTTTGCTTTTAAAATAATATTTTAAAATATTTAATAGGTAAAAATAACATCATATTCAAATTCTACATATTTTTCTATTCAAATTTCATATATAACATGTTAAAATCAGAGTTACGGTTTAATAGATATGGATAATTAAGAAAAATATTTGTTTGACTTAAATATCTTCCAAAAATGTTTTAAAAATATTTAACAAACAAAATAACATCATATTCAGATTCTACACATTTTTCTAATCAATTTTCATATATAACATGTTAAAATCGGAGTTACGGTTTAAAAGATATGGATAATTTAGAAAAAACATGTGTTTGACTTATATATGATCGGCGGGTGAATTATCTAATACGTCAGGGGGGTTTCCATAAAAATGTAAAATAACGGTTCGGTTTGACTTAAGTGTGTACTGCGAGTTAATTCATAGAAAACATAGGGGGTTTCTGCAAAAGTGCGTGACGGACGGCCGAAACCCAATTTGCTTTATTATTAGGTAGAGATTAAGCATATCATCATGGACATAACACTAAAAGATATTTGACATAAAAAGATCATGCCATGGATCAAGAATTATGTTGGAAACTGTGTACGGTTACAAAAGCAATCATCCGAAGTACTGGACTCTAAATAGAGTTGTAGTTTGATATCAAATTAATTACATACTCTATATTATTAGACCATCGAAGCAAGAAGGGATTTGTTCTGGTGTAGTCTGACTCTTCGACTGCCTCTCCTGTCTCTCTGGGTCAAGTTCGGATCGTCCGGCTTATGGTCATTTAGTTGCTCAGATTAAGTCTTTAATGATCGGTAGAGAGTTTATTCCACATAAGCTAAATAGAACTCAAAACAGAATTGCAGAATGTCTGGCAAGGTACTATAGTCGTTCAGAGCAGGCCACAATAGTGGCTCGAAAGTCGTCCCCCATGTATTGAGGAGGTCTTGCCACTAGATTGTAATTCAATTATTATGAAATAAACTATTGAACCTGCAAAAGAAGAAGGGATTTATAAGTTCATGCAGTGTTCACCAATGAGAATCTTCCCCTCTCTCATCAATGTAGACTACGAGTGAATTCGGCCTCATGCCATGGACTCTGGCCGCCATTATTCCTCCCTCATCTGCCGATGTTGTCGACCGGATGGGGAGGAAGAGGGTGTGCCCATGTGTAATAGTAGGTTTTACTTTAATCTGCTTTTCCTGTCAAACAAAGAGGTGGTCAGATCTAGATCCACCCTGATTTTTCCTCAACCTCCTCTCCCTCTCATTCATGGTGATGTAGGCGAGATAGAGGGTCAGAGAGGCTTATTACACTCCTATGCTAGCACCTCTTAGCCAGATACGTGAGGACGAGCCGTTACTGCCGGCATCGCCCTCACTACTCTGACG